TATAACTTCCCAGGGCATAAAAGATTACACATCAGACCTGAAACTCAGACCCCAAAACTTTAGATACCATCTCAGTTGTGTTAGGCAGGTTACTCTTTCTGCATATTTTTCTCTCTGCATATTGTAGAGATGATTTCAGGCCTCCTACCTAGCCCAGCTCACAGCACTCACCTACTTCTTGCCATTCTCTCAGCCACTCATCCCCAAACTCCTTCTTTCCTGAATTAATAAAACCTGGTTTCAGCCCTGGTTAAGGCCTTTGATCCAGCTAGCCATCACTGTAGCTGGACTTAGGACCCCTTGACTCCCCATAACTACAAATATGCCTTAGTGTCTTCATTCTTGCCATGGGTTGCACTGGAAATAGTAGATTGGAATTAACTCAATGGGATTCCAATAACTTTTCCATGGGATTACAAATACAAATTTCCTGGACCACGACGAGGGCCAGGAAAGGCTCTCTATAGAAGGAAAGATGAATAGTGCTGTGAGACACTTAATATGGGAGCTCCAGTAGGTCCAGAGCAGGTTGATGTTTGGTGAGAGTGAAAATGGGTAAGGTGACTTTTGTAACAGCCAGTATTGGTCAGTATTTTGGAGATGGGATAGAGAAAAGCATGTAGATGCAGGAGAGGTTTGGGTTCAAGGTCTCTTTCAGAATCTGCAGCAAGTCTCGTGATGTCTTTTGAAGCATGAAGCTAAAGGAGTATGTTTTATAGGTCACAATATAATAGAACTGCAGGAAAAAGGAGTGAATCCCTTAAAAATTGAGGGCCACTAGGATAGGGTAAATCCTAGCTTCAGCTTTTCCTAGATTTCTTGTCCCACTCATATTCTCAATTTGCATATGGCTCAAGTGGAAGGTCCTTAGGTTGAAAGGGACTCTTGAACCTCTCATTTTGTTGAAGTATGAATTGCTGCAACCTTGCAACCAAGAAGGCTGACCTTAGCCAGCTGTGGGTTTCTCTGGTGCTGACTCTCTGAAGGTCACCTGGTGGCACATAGTGGTATCAGGGAAGAGATTTGGCTAGGCTGATCCATTCAGGAAGCAACTTACTCTGATGGGTCATCTTTGTGGTATATGGCATTTACTTTGTCATTCTTGGTGTGGGATTGCTCAGGGTGTTACATGACCACAAAATGGAAATCTGGAAAGAGAAGTGCTCGTTTGGCTTGGCTGGTTTCCACATATTGCATCGATTTGCAGTGTCCTGCCCTTTGATAGGCAGGAAGTACCTGATCAGAGTACTGTGCCTTGGAGCTGTTCCTCGAAGGCCATCTTAGTGATTGGATGCACCCAGGTCCTTTGTTCAGCTAGAGGCAGCCTGCATTGGTGTGAAGTTGCTGCTCTGCTGCTGATATTGGATGGCCCCCACGGTATATCTAGGGGCACTGCTGTTGGGTATCCAAAAGGAAGATGAAGGTCTCTTTTACATATCCAGTTATCATTCTAGCTGCTGGTATTGTTTTTATTTATTTAAAACAAAAAGGAGTTAAGTGATAGTTGTCATGATGCAATACAGAGTGGGTAATTATACTAAAAATGTGTAACTCCCCTGAAACCTGGATCTTTGAATCTTTCTTGGAGGATGCTTAATTAACGGTCTTGAAGAGATTTTTCTGGAGCTTCTGAGGCCTCTGGGTGAAATATATCTTTTTCCAACTGGGCATTGGAATCACCTGTGGGAAACTTAAAGTATGCCAGGGCCTCCAAACCAAACATTCTGCTTTAATGGGCATGGGACCTAGGGAATTTGTTTTCCTCCTATTTTCCAGGTGATTCTAATTTTCAGTCAGATTTGGGAAACTGCCCACCAGTTACTCAGAGAAGGAAGTCTTTACACAATTTTGGTGGACTCCGCTGCATCAATTGCTTATGCTGACCTTGAACCCTGAACTGTCACCATGGCCATGTATTTGGCCTTTATTCCTCTTTAAGCACCTTTGCCAGTTGTGTTTTTGAACTGTTTTCCCTTGGCTCTGCATCAGCTGAGCAATAGCTCATCTCTTTATTATATTATATATGAAGAAATCTCCACTTAGGATTTTGATGGGCAGATATTCTGTAACATTTTCTCATGAATATTATGCTTGAGGCCTGAATGCATAGTACAGTAGTTTCTGGCTGTGGAAATTCAGGCCCTGGGGTGGGGATAGGCAGGAAAGTCTTAGAATGGCATGAGAAGAAATCATTGTTTATTGTCTTCTCAGAGACATCATGAAAGGCTCAGGGTTTTTATCACCATGTTTCTTAGCCTCTGTGGACTCTGGGATGAGATTGGTTGCCCTTGGCATTCTTGATAGCAGACCTTGGTGAGATACATTTCCAAGAGTGGGCATCAGCACCATACATTAAGTCCCAGCAGATCCTAGGTCATGTGGCATAAGGCACATTACCCATGAGGTAAAGGCCAGGCATAGTGGCCTGTAATCCCAGTACTCAGAGAGACTGAGGCAGGAGGAATGCTGTGAGTTCAAAGCCAGCCTGGGCCACATACTGAGCTCAAGGCCAGACTGAACTACATAGTGAGGCTCTGTGTCAAAATACAAACAACAACAACAACAGTGACAGCAGGTCCTGGGGCCACGCGCATCTGGTGCCCCAGGGGAGAGGGAGCTGCCCAGGACCAGTGACCCTAGCCCCGGCTGCCCTGAGTCAGATGGCACCCATTGATAATTTCACGCAGTGCTGGGTACCACCCTTCCCAAATCCTGTGCTGGACAAGCCAGGGGTAGGCCTGGGGGGCCAGCAGAATTTCCAGAGAGATAAATAAGGACTTATTACAAATAGTGCGTGGCAATAACAAGGAAGCTGAAGAATTACAGATTTACCATCCTGTTGCCACAGTCTCCTCGGACAGCTTTCTCCCCTCTTCCCCTACCACACAGGGAGCCTTTGTTGCTAAGTTTGCTTCTTCGCTAAAAGCATATCAGAGTGCACACTTCTAAATAGGTAGATACCTGGAAGAAGACAGAAGGGCGTGGGGTGAGCCATGCATGCCCAGTTCCTGCTCGAAAGGAGAAGAGAAGCCAGCAAAGGAAGGGGAAGGCAAGGACTTCTGCTGAATGGAAGGGTAGCTCCCCACTCTGAAGGATGCATCAGGATTCAGGCAGAGGTTCACTCCTGGGCTCTGAGGAGGAGGAAGAGGAAGGATTTCGACCAGACAAGTTCCCAAGAGATTCAGGACATTTGCATCAAGATTCTGATTCTTCAGTTTTCCTTTGGAGAACTCTGCCATTGGATTAGAATTTTATAATTTCTTGTTATTGATGGTGTCTCATTTGAAAAAGATCTATAATTAATCAAACAAAGTATAAATCATGCTCCTTTGTGTGCGGTGCCACATGGAATCAAACCAGCCACATCACTCTTCTCATATAGAAGCTTTATTCTTTGTTGGCCCAAAATAAAGTATCCCTTTGTTCTATCACAAACGTAAAACATAAAAATATATAATTATGTGAAAATTTAGTCCACACCAGGATTTAAGGCATATTCTTGGACATTGTTACTTGTATAAATTTGGTGATTTATATTCAAATAATAGTCTTATTAACAACTCCTATTCTGAGCTTTATAAATAAAGGCCAACTATTTCCAAAAAAACCCTAAAAAAACAAAAAACCAAAAATACAGTAACAGCAGCAGCAGCAACAACACCATCAAAAAACCCCAGAAGGTGATAAGAGATCCGGACAAGACTATATTGCTGGGGCTGTTCACACCTCCTTGCTTTTGCCTATGTTGTCTCATGGCTTGAGATCCCCATTTTCCCTCCATCATCTCTTCCTTTTAATGAAGGGAGAGGCAGGTCACTTTCCCACCTGCATCTAATTTGTGGGCAACTGCAGTGTTGTACATCTTCCGGGGTCACAAGTTTCTATAGTGTAAGGCTACTAACGTAAGATGCTGTGTGTGCTCTATCATGTTTTTTTTTTCCCTTAGAAAAGCTGAGGTCATTCTAGAACCTAGGTATCTTGACTAGCAATCCAGGCCTTTTTTACTATCTGCTGCATCATAGTCATACTATGAAGCAAAAAATAAATATAATAAATACGCACATACATATAATAAATAAATATAATATATATAATAAATATAATAAATAAATGCAGAAGTTGGCATTTATTTATAAAAACAAATATAATAAATACAATATATAATAAATACACACACAAGTAAAATTAATACTTACCTATAAAATAAATATTAAAGTGAAGGATACAGAGTTGAATCATCTTACCTATTTTATATTATAAAATTTGTTCTCCCTCTGTGTTATCAAAGAGTATAAGAGCAAATTATACCAAATTGTCCCCTTTTTCTTTAGTTTTTCCACTTTTGTTACAATCATAAATAAAGATATTTCAATATTGTAGAAACAATAATACAAGGGCAATGATAAATGACAGCCATAGTTCTTTATGTTGAGGGAACAATAGGGTGTGGTGGGGATGATGATATTTTAGAACAGTCAAGCCTGCCTGTGAGGGCAGCTGCTACTTAGCACCAGATAATCTTTGTCAGTGTCAGACATTGATAGAAGCCGTCTTGTTAGATCTGTGTTTTTATTTTTTTTAAAAGAGAAACTAGAAGTCTAGATTTTTATGTGACTTTTAAATTTGTGATTTTTTGTGTGATTTTTAAATTTCTGCTTAGATTTTTTAGACTTACTGCTGCAGATGAAATGTGATATCTCTAGAGGCTAGATGTGACCCCACTGTACTTTTAGTTTGTGATCCTTATTAAAGATGATGCCTGAAGGTCCTTTCTGCCCAAGAACCTGTAATCCTAACAGGCACCATTTCAGTGGGTGAACTGAGGATTATTGTTCCACTGTGAGAAGTGAGGGTGGGAAAGGGAGTTGGGCTGGATGAGCAGAATGGGGACTTTGAGCCTAAATGGGGTACCTGGCAATTGGTTTGTATGGATTCCCTTGGGGTAAGGCCACAGGATGCTTGTGATTCACAGCAGGTGTTTTGTATATTTGTCATTGCAGGAGTTGGCATCCATCCGATGAGTTTGTGAATCTGAATCCTCTCTGCCCAGAGCTCCAGGACCAATGCCTCTCCCAGCACTTTAAACCATTGGTGAATATATGTATTTTTTTCCCATCTACTGCAGTCAGAGGAACTATTTTTAGATGACTGTAGAGTGTGATTTGTGGAGAACCACATTGTCTTTTCCCTTGTAGAAGAAAGGACACTGGGATGGGCCTAGGCATATCTGAGTTCTGTCACTTTTATTGTAGAATTTAAAGTGAATTGTTTGACTCTTCCTGGTTCCACACAGAGGAATGTATCCTTTCCTTTTTACATTGCAGGACTGCTTAAGTTTGAAGACTACAAGAGATAATATATGTGAAAATACTTCAAAGAGAATGAAATACAGGCAAAATATAATGGCAGATAGTTGGCTCTGAGATGTAGAGCAGGGCGCCCCTCCTACAACTTTATTAACTTAACTAACATAGTTTTTAAGCTGGAGTCCCAGAAGTAGGAAGAAATATCTTCCAAACCCAGCTGACCTCAACAGACCACCAGCTGGGGCTTCCCACCTTTATTTCTGTAGTGTTTGTAGACATCTTCTGTGCTAAAGCCAAGAGAGAGGAAATCAAAGCAGCAGGGCACTTCTAAGTCAACTAGTATATTAAAATGTGAATGTTGTTCTCACATACTTGTATGTTAGAAATGAGAGTTTTAAGTATCTATTTTCAGAGATCTCCAGAATGTTTCAAGAGATTTTCATTGTTTGTTCCCATAGTTGCAGTTTTTTTAAAATGACTTAACTTCTTTTAATAGTTACCTTTGTTTTTATTTGAGATTAGATCATTTCAACAATTAGCAAATGTTCTTTGGAATAAATATAATTACTCATAAGATCAGGTAAACATCTTGCTTCCGTGGCAGTTGAAAGAGGCAAAAGTATGTCCTTAATAAATTGTATTCAGTTCTACGTGTGAATACTTGGACAGGTGATACCTTGTTGATGGTGAAAGTCTCATGTGAACTTTGAAGGGAAGGAGTAGCATGAGCCAGGGAGAAAATATGATCCATGCCCTTAATTGCAACACTTTTTTGTTTTTTAATAGAGAAAAACTGGCCTGTTTAATGATGAATGCATGGTCAGTTCCCACCACGTGGATTGGTGTTCTTATGACCCAGTGGGACAAATCCCAGTGCCAGGCCACCTGGGGAGCTCTCAGGGTACTGTGGTGGTAAGGAGTGGCAGGACAGGTAGGCCTGGAGTTAGGGACCCAGCTGAGCCATGGAGGCTAATGTCCAGACTACTCTAAGGAGGCACGGTGGACATTCTGGATCCCAACCTGGATCCCAACTGATAGGCAGGAAGAACTCTTGACTTGTAGTCGGTGTTCCCAGGGAAGCAGAGGGCTGCGTGTGACAGGACGGTTCATCTGTTCAGCAGATGTGTTAATGCTTGCTTCATGCCAATATCCTGCCCTGGGCACTCAGGATTCATTGGCCACAAGATGGACTTTGTGTCCATGCCTCTCTGGAGCTTAGGCTTTAGTGAGGATAACAAATAAGCATGTGAGCTTCATGGGGACTGGGATCTTTGTTAGTCTCATTCTCTGCTGTAGCTCTTAGAATACCTTGCATCTGATGAGTGCCCATCAGATTTCTGTTTGAGTTCTGTTCATTTTGTGATGCCCATTAGTGGTCTCATAGACATGTAATGTAATGTTCACTGGGGCTAGAAATAGTATGCTTGAGAGTCATCAGCACAGAGATGTTATTTAAAGCTATGAGGTTAGGTAAGATCATTTAGGGAGAGAAAGGAGGAGATGTGTAGAATTTTGACAGAAAAAGAAGGAAAGGGAAGGGTAGATTTTCCAGATAAATGAAGACACATACTAATGAACATGGTGTGATTTCATTTTATGCAAATATGAATTATACAAAATGAGACAATATGATGTAAAAGTAGGAACATGGCCTCACTTTATATAAAAAATTTGAAGTACTTTGATTCCTCCATATCAAGAAAATTAGTTTTAGAATTACAGATGGCATCTGTGCAGTAGGCATGTGTCTGTGTCTTTGGCTGGCAAACAGAAAGACTAGCATCCTTTGCCCATAACCTGTAAACTGCATTGTTCTTTATGGGCTGGAACTTTTACAAGGTATTTTAATGGCTAAGTTTAATTTGCAGTTCATAGATTTCAGAGTTTTTTCATCCTATAATTATATCATCCAAAAGTTCATCAACTGAAGGTTTATTAAGTGAAAACCACATCTGAATATTTGCAGTAAGAGTTAGATGGGATACAATTCTATGGGGAAGGTCAGACAGGCACAATGTTTCATACTTTATAGTGGTGCATGTAGGACATATTTAGAATATCTTAAAAATATCAAGGGTGAATGCTGTAAGGTAAAAAGCAGAAACACCCCCAAGCCCTCCCTCAATACAATGGCAGTTGTGGTAGATGTGTACATTTCAGGTACCATGCATAACCCTCAACCACTGTTGACTGATCAGAGAAGAATCAGTTCTTAATCCTATGCATTTTCCTCTATATCTGAGCTTCTGGTGTAAAATATGGCTGTGCTGGTTTTGTCCTTGGGCAGACCAATTGTCCTACTGAGCTTTCTGCAGTTTTTCATAGGGCCTAGCTTCTTCCCCCCTTCAGGCTTCCTGGTTAGTTTTTTTATTAGTCTTGTTGTCTCCAGAAGTCTTATCTGTTCCTCATCATTATCAGCTCAAAGTCCTTCATACTTCCTTCCTCTGACTGCATTTGTGAACCTTTCAGCTGAGCCCCACAGTCTCTTAGAGATCCTCACGATAGTCTTCTTTGGAAACATTTGCCTTTCCCCACTCTAGCTGGGCTCCTCAGGCGCTTTGTAGAAATGATGACAAAGGAATGGGAAACCAGTGCAACACCGAGGATGGGAATGATAAGCACACTCTAAAATGGGCTGTTTCAAATTCCTTGCCCAACGAGCAGCCCTGACTTGCTTTTACATGTGCTTTTCAGTGAAACAGTAATGAGTGGTCGTTCTGGAGCATCTACTCTCTGAAAAATGAGCATCGGTTGTGTAGTGTTTTATGTCTATCACCAGTGGGTTTACGGTAGAAGGAAGGTTTCAGTGGAATGCGATTCATGACAATTGACCTCAGCTCTAGGTTTCTTTTGTCTTCTTTTCTCACAGAGGAGAAGCTAAATAAAAATTTAAAGAATGAAACTTACTGGCAGTTTTAGGGGGAGCATTTCTAATAACTGTTTCCTTCTTCAATGAGTAATTTTGGGAACTGAACGAAAGGATGTGACCATCCGTGTACCTGGAGACTTAAAACAAGGGGCATTTAAAAAATGGTAGCACACCTTTTAAGTTAAGAAAACAAAACAAAATAAAACAGAAGCTGCAGAACAGCTCATTGGCATATACACTTAGAGACCATTTCAGGAGGAGATGCCTGAATTAGCAGCCATGTAAGTAGAACAATGGTGTGAGAAGAAGAGCCATATATTTGATTTGCACTTTTTGAACAACAGGAAGTTGTATCACATTTGTCGGCTAAGTGTAAAACAAGATATTTTGTCTTTTTCCAACTACTTGTGCTTGAAATTTTTTGTATTGTGTATATTACCTTTAGAAAAGGTAATGATAGTATCATTTACTTTTTTTTTTTTTTTCTTCTCCATCTTTTTGAGACAGGGTTTCGCTATGGAGTTTGGGCTGGATTTGAACTCACTTTGTAGCCCAGGCTGGCCTCGAACTCACAGCCATCCTTCTGCTTCAGCCTCCAGAGTGCTGGGATTATAGTCTCTTTTACTCTTAAATGATGATCTAGAAGAATTTTAAATTTCCTTACCATTTGGAATATAACTCTTCTTGCTCAACAAATGTGAATTTTGATTGCGTTCATTGCCCGTTCAGAGTGTCCCTTCTCTTTATTTTGCCTGTGGCTTCATATTCTTTGCAATTTAGGACTAAGGTTCTTTAATTTGAGTTGTGTAGTTTTGAATGTTTGAGAATATGTCAGTCAGGCCAGTTTCTTTCTTTCCTTCTTTTGTTTCTGAAAGAATTTAAGGCTGTTTCTGGTCAATATTTTATTCAGCTATTTTACACAAATAAGGATTTTTTTTTTACAAATAAAGATTTTAAATGAGATTAGTTGCCATGAGCACACCCACAAATTAGGCCATTTCAGTTAAGCATTTATTTCAGTGCTGCTCTTTAGAGTACTTATATTATATTGTGGAGCAGAACATGAGATTTGGAACTCATTGTGGTTGATAGTTTCTAACCTCAGAGTTCAGGCAAATTAAAAAGAACCCAAACTCAGATTCCTTGTCTGAAGAATCTCAGCCTATAGTGGGAAAATGCTCAAAATGGAATTTGCATAAATTGTTAATGGGCCTGGTGCCCACCGTCACACTGCTGTTAGGCTCTTTTGGGCTGCCATCTTACTTTTTGTTACCAAAGGTTTGCAAGGCCACTTTTTGGCCAGAGTTGTTATGTCCTACAAAGACACGATATCCATGATACTCATTTTATGCAGCAGTGATATTCTTAGGTGTTGGTGTTTCTATAAGTGATTTACGTATTTAATTTTGCATTTTTTAAACACATAGGAAATAGTATCACATTTGCTGGCCATGTGTAAAAACCAGATATTTTGTCCTTTTCCTCTACTTATAATGACTATTATGAATACAAATAGGAAGGAATTTCTTTTGCCTTTCCTTTTTTTATGGTTTGGAGAGGTTAACATTAGATTGTGCTTGAGGTTGACACTAAAAGAAGGAGATTGACATCATCACCAGTGATTATTGTACGTCATTGGATGAAAGAAATCATTTTGATTGTTCCAGGGCCTAATTTAGACAAGGCAACATCTGATGCCTACTTCACAGCAGTGCTCTCATTCTGTAGCCTCCTTATCAACATAGAGATGACTCAGTGTTTTCCCCACTCAGAGACGATCTCTGGGCTGCTGATTATGGCATGATCAAAAAAAAAAAAAAAGACTTCTGCAGAGGCATGCTTGAAAAAAAACAACTATTACGGGTACTTGTTGAATTCACATACTTTAACTTTCGCTATTATAATCTGTTAGGAAT